TTGCTGAGAGAAGATTTACGCCAAGATTAGGTACGTAGAAGACATTTTTTGCTATCCCCCATGAACCATCGGCACATTTGACTACTACAGTTCCCCGATGACTCGATGTTAATGTACCTCCCCCGACTTGTATAGTGGTAGGAAGTATATTTTTCAGTTTTCCCCTAAACAAATGGATTTGATCAGTCATTGGAGACGTAGCGCCTGTGTCAAGTACCCAAGCAGCTGGGGTGCTCTTACTAATAAGTTCTTTTGTAAGCATCACTTTCTGTGGCTTATGGAAATCTGAGTCGGATTCAGATTCTTCTTCGGGCGAGTCCTCGCTTGTGGAATCGTGAGAAGTTGAATCCGAAGTTTCTTCATAAGCGGCGTAGCCATGCCTTCCCTTGGGTGTCGATCTGGTTCTCTTGTGGGTAGTCTTCTTTTTTTCTGGTTTGGATGCCTTTTTTGACCTTAGCTTTGTTGTCCCCTTTTTATCGGCCCTCTTTTCATCCTTCTCTCGAAGTGTGATGGCGTATTCCAAGGCCGCTTTTGCATAAGGGCAATTGCGCGATATATGGTTGGACCCGTGACACTTGTAGCAACGCATTTCAACGAAAGCATCTGGGGTATTTTCCATGGTGATGTCAGAGTTTCGGTGCTGCCGCTGGTGATGCCTTCTATCAAAAGCCGGGTGTGCAATCTCATGGTCTCTGCTGTCTTCCTCCTTTTCTATGAGAATATTTAATTTTTCTTCGACAGTCCATTTATTACCGCGAAAACTATCAAGAATTGAGGAGTATTTAGATGGCAGGGTCTTCCCTAGAATAAGAAAGAGTGTTTTGTCTGGGTAGGCGAGCCTGAAGGACTCATCTGCGGCGATGAGTTTCCTTCTGTAACCTTTCAAAGTTTCCCAAGCGCTGTGAATACCTTTCTCTTCCACCTCGAACTGGTTGGGGAAGCTTTGGATTTTAGACATGAAATTTGAGGCGGTAGATTCACTGATCTTGTTGTATTTGTCCTTTAAAAAATTCCAGACATCAATCGCGTTGTCAAACTCGTCAAAAACAGATTGATCGTCGTCGCTGAGGAGATCTGAGATATAAGAAAAGAACTTTGCGGTGTCTTGTTCGAATATCTTTAATTTTTCACTGTTCCAAGATCCCCCTAATCTCTCAAATTTTGACGTCATTTGCTCCAATGGATCTCTTTTCTCATTTTCTTTTCTTTTTGATGACGTGGTACTAGAACATTCGGCTTCATCTTTGGGCTGAATGGAAGAGCCTCCCTCTCGCTTTATCCAAGCAAAGTTTGCTTTAGTCGTGTGGGTCACGTAGAAGTAACCTTTTGACTTTGACTTAAATTCTACCTTGCGGAACCATTTATCATGATTTTGACGAGAGAGTATGAGTGCCTCACGTTTCTCGTAGTCTGAACCCATTGTCAGTGGTAATTTATTTCCTCCTCTTTTTCTTCGTTTAATAAAATTACTTTCTTTCGTAATCTTTAGCGCTCTCGTCCGTTGGCGCTCTTTCGTATGTAGACGTTCGTGTCTTGCGCGTCTTTCGCGTTCTCGTTCGTTTGCGCTACTCCAATCGTTGTTGATTTCTTTAGCACCCTCGTTCGTTGGAGCTACTTGAGAAAAGTCTGGGCATCGGGCTCATAACCTATTAAAAACTTAGTCCTTGTATTGTGTAATGATCACTTTAAGGAGTTCTAATATAAAACATGGAAGGTAGACTTGTCTATGAAATCAACTCGTTAGAGGTGTAAAATAATTATCCATCAAAACGGATCCAACACTCGAGATTTACATCTTGAGTGAGGGTCCGTGCATGCTAACAAAACAACCCAATAACCACGTGATAAACAAGCTAATTGTACAGGGTATCTTGCTCTCCGGTTCTCCTAACTCCTGGCTAATGATGACAACTCAGACCCATAATAAGGGTCATGAGGATCCTGGAATTGCAATGCATTAGATTTATTTCTCAACATATACTACGTTCTATAGCCTTCCATATCCACGATGGCTCAGTTTCATCCAACTCTGAGTCATCCCAGTCTATTCTATCTGACTCTACTCTGCTTCATTTGGACCATCTAGTTCTGCGTCTCTGCGATCCATACTAACCAGATGCAGGGGTAGTAATGTCATCAACCACAACAATACCCTCTCTCGTACGCCTTTGAGTCACGTATATTACTTACAACATCTTCTACTGCCCACTAAGCCAACCACTAACCTGACGGTTATATTATTTTGTGTGTAGGGTTTGTGAGAGGATTTACAGGACAATTAAGTAAACTGAAATACTTTCAGATGTAACGGCTACTAAGCCTAGGAATTCTTGTAGCCTACGCTGGCTAGCGCAGACAATGACACCAAGGCAATCTTCGGGAAGGATCTCGAAATACACGGAACTCTGAAGGTTCATGAGGATGACAGATGTATCGAGGATCTTCTAGGGAATCATCGAAGAGTCAATATTATTCTAGTCATAGGGGGAAACTTATAGGAGAGCATCTTAGATTGTATATTTATAATCTAGCTGCAAGTATTCTCTCTTCAGAGAATCATAATTAATATGCCATACCTACAAGATTGCCCATGTATTTTGTCCTGAAACCGTGACATCAGTTAGCTTTTTAACGAGTTGTTGGAAAGTGTGTATGGGTTCTAAGAGGAAACCCACTCAAAGAATATAGGCACAGCTTCAAAGTACTTCGTAGTAGTTCAATCAAATAAATTATTCACGTAAATCGTTCTTATTATATTATATTACACGTCAGAATACTAAAGAATGCACGTCCAGGTTTCTACATATTACTCGTTTTCTTTGTCTGACGCTAAATCCAATTTCAGTCTAGTGCAATTGTGCACCAAGTTATTCCTAAGCAGCCTTGCCGATCATCACCGACAATTTGTAGCTCTAGAGTAAGCAGCTGGTGCGAAATTCCAACACGAGTCTATTTCAGAGATACTGTACTCAACATTGAAGCACTGTGCGTTACTTAAATATTACTAATGCTTTTCCTCTAGTGAGAGCCATCGCATACTGAGAGTGGGCGAAATCCTGGGCCAAGCAGAAACAAACTCGGAAGCCTCGGCAGTTAGCAACGGCAGATCTCGAAACTTGGATAGCAGCCAAATTTTACCAAAGGAGAGTATCTGGACGGCAAAAACTGAGTTTTCAAGACTCCCCATTCTTTCTACATCGTAACCTGACCAGGGCCCAAAGCAGTTTGGCGATGCAAATACGAAGTGAGCATATGGGGCTCAGCTCGTATTTACACAGAAGCAAAGTACCCGAAGTATGAAGTTCAGGTTGTCCATGTGGCTACCAATCACAGAACCCCAAGCAAATGATTATTTCCTGCGCCCGATGGTCAAATGGTAGAGCTGAGATCTGGAGACAAGCCAAAGATCGGTCCTACGAAGCGATGATAAACAGTCCTGGAGACATCAAAGAGGTAACACGGTAGATCTTAAATCATGGTGGGGCAGAGCAATTCCAGTTTAAAAAGGCGATTGAAATGCTGCTGAGGGTAAGGAACAGGTCAAGTAATACTTGGGCCGGAAAAAAAAAGAGGTGGTTGGTTTACATGGATGGCAATACAGTGCACCTGCGCTTCCTGAAGAAAATATGTGAAAAGTAAAGACAACTGTGATGGGCGATCAACAAAACAAGATAGTAAAGGAATGGTGGCCGATTACTGTCTATTTTCTACATATATCTCGGAACTGTCCACCGAGGGGAGGCTACTTAGGGTGTCCCAACTCCCAATGCGCTAACCTCACTATCTGTTCTACTACACCATATCCTTGATATTCCGAGTGGGCTCGTCATAGCGAATTTGGGTCGTGTCGGCCGATGATTCCATATGAGACTTGCTGCAACAATATCTTGTTTCCATATTTGTTGCAACCCTGTGTATGTATGGCCAAGTTGGACATCTCTTTAGATAGCAAGGCTAATGACGTAATAATGATAAGTGTCCGTGCGACAGTCACTAGGAGATAGACGCAGCCTGTAACAATAACAAGCAGAAAGGTGTGAGCGGTTTTCACCACAAAGGTGTCCTCCCGTGTAAATATTACAGATTTTAGACACCTGCATGGGCCCATAGGGTGCCAAATCAGGATAATGAATTCAAATTCAAATATTTTCCTCTCCTAGGACTTGCGAGCTATGTTACATGGAAGATAAACTAGTGCCAAAATGATCGAAACTCTCACAACAGCTATGCCATCCAAGGCATAATCATACCCAAAGTTTAGGTATAGAGGGACTTGAGTTTTTTGTGCTGGCTCGGTTGAGTTGTTTCGAGATAGTGGAAAGGAGGATGGGCTGCTGTGTTAGGAAAGGATGGAAGATATAGGCTGATGCACAGACGCTGTTCATGTACTTTACAATATCTTCATCCGCCGAATTAAGTGAGGCATCTACTCATATAATATCATACTTCCCATAATCCATAAGATAATTTTATCAATCGTTGGAGTGCGCATCAAGTATCCCCTTCACAGATCACCATTTGATACGCACTCAGTATCCATCGTGCCATCATCCTAGTATGAGCACGCCATCTCCTCGACCCAACATAGCACATGAGCCAGTGCCCCTCCACTGAAATACAGCAGAGTCATATAATTGCTACGAACCTCTCAGCTTATGACCACAGTATATTTTCATTCTTATTTTAGACCGGAAAAGGAAAATTATACATAAAAAACAGTAAATTTCTTATTTGATATGCCGTTACGGACCGACTTATTTACAAAAACATAAAGTTCCTTATCGCTTAATACCTAGCTAGCTCTAACTATGACCCGTGCTCTAAAAAATTTATGAATGACTTACAACTTCATCGTTGCAACAGGGGCCAAGAATCTAATTGCTGGAAAATATGGCGGCCTAAAATTTTTAGTTTCTTCTCATTATTTAAACCTTCCGTTTTTAATACACAAAATTTAGTGTTATGTTTCACTTTGGCTTTATAATTCTGAAGTCAAAGATCTACCAACCCCATGTCCTTGAACTTGCAGTGAAAACAGGAGGCGTCCAGTTAATCTTACTCGGGTCAATTTGACGTCTTGGCTTGGTTTTAAACTTCTCCATAGCTGCCTGATATTTTTTTATGATGTGGGTCGGCAAGATTATTTTATGCTCACCCTTGTGATATACTTGCATTTTCAGAGCCTGCAGAGTGCTCTCCACATCCTGAGTCGTCATTGCAAGTTCTTGAGATAAACTTTCAATTGATACGGTTTCATTGCTGTCGTTTTTTTCCAGAAGGATCCTTACTAGATTTTCCGTCCAATATTGTCGGTACGAAAGAAGCCCCAAGTCCGACAAAGGCTTTTCGGGGGAGCCGGTTTTATATTCTTTTGCCGATAATTCATAAGAAAATTGAATGAGGAGTCGACCATATCCCTTTCGCTGATATTGAGGCAAAGTGAGAATACAGGCTACATTGTAGCCATCAGCACTCTCCTTCTCCTTGGAAAAGTAGCCAACCAGATGAAACCCCTTCTCATCTCTAGATGTCATGACGTAGAAGAGGAACGGGTCGACATCATAGTACAAAGTTTTGTGATCTAGGAACATCTTGGAAAGTAGACACAAGTTTCGACACCAAGTCCGCTGTCGACGTCCGTCTATCTCGAAGAAAGAAACGTAATCGTCTCGATATATTTCATTGCCAGGAGGATGTTGTAGAGTACACTTTTGTCGGTGTCGTGAGAATGATTTTACATCTGCATAGTAACAGAGACAAAATTCGCATATATATATGACGTCTTCTTGCGTGAAAATCTCGGGGAATGGTGAGAAGTACCATGGATATAAATCGTATTTTCCAAATTGTACCTTTGAGATATTTCTAATCCGTGATATTTCAGCCTGATTTTGGGTCATGGAGCCTCCCACTCGAAGCTTTTCTAATTCCTCTTCACGGCTAATATCATCAAGAAGTGGATCAGTTCGAGGTTTGCTCGTTTCCCCCGACTCATCAAGATCCATGGCATCCTCATCATCAACCCCTGGTGTCTGAGCAATATCTAATCTAGTGTTAAGCTTCTCTTCATTTCCCGTATCGGGGGGCTCTTTTGGGGGTTCCACTAATTCGGTCCATGAATGAGGCGTGCCAACCTCAGAAATCACCGAAGCTTCGCGAGCAACCCTTTTCAAGCCTCTTTTTGGACCGGTTAGCTTCTTGAAGGCAGGAGCTGTAGCTTTTTTTGGCTCTTTGGGTTTCTCCGCACTAGGCCACTCTACTTCCTGCCGAAAATCAATTCGGTTGGCAGGAACCCATTCGTCTAGACGTTTATTGAAATTGTCAAAATTGCAATAAAATTGTCTCCCACTCTTTGTCTCTTTAATACTTAGAATTTCGGCCTTCCGATACTCTCCATCCTAGTTATGCCAGTTAGTTTCATCACATACGTGGCATAAAATTTAACAAGCGTTTAATACTTTCATAAACACTTGAATATACCTTCATGACCATGGCAATACATCCTGCTCTTTTATACGTTTCTTAGTCTACTGTTTCTGAGAAAATCGAGGATTTGATAACCCACTTCAAACTATCTACATTTGCTCTACCCTTTGGTTTAGATACCGCATTACCAAGGATTAATTCTTGAGTTTGAGTGCCGACAACCATGATGGATTCAGCGGTGGATAGATTGTTGAGCGCTCTTGGTTTAAATTTATTGTTTGATTCGATTCAGCGAAATGCTAAGGTTAATTATCACGTGATATATTCTAATCCACGTGAGTCTTGGCGACCTTGTCATCCTGAGGCAGGAATATTTTCGGTCATTACTACAGGCCATCATTTGCAACATACATAACTTTGCGTCAAAGCCGAGATATCATCGATTTAGAGCAGGAAAGAGTTTGATCCAACATGTATATTTTAAGATCCACGCAAGACTTTCGAGTTTTTTGCAAACTATGGGCTTATGTCGCTAAGCCTCATCTACAACTCTGGTCTCTTCCACTTGTTTGGCGTTATTTAGCCTAATACTCTGCGACATATAATTTGTAGCCCATGAACATGTGGATTTCAGTCGAACAGCAACACTACTATCGGAGTAGATAATTCGCTGGAGTGCAGGCGATACAATATACACCGCCATGATTGGATGGTGCAGTGGTACATCGTCTTGACCGATCTTCCTAGCATGGTCTGGATAGCTTGGACACATATCCCACTTTAGACAGGAGAACACCGGTTCGAATCCAGCAAAAATGAACTACATTTCTAGCAGTGCTTGTATCCACGGATGACAAAGGCATGCTTGGGTAATCAAAGGCTTTGAAATGTCCCTTTGGTGGATACTCACGGAGGAGGGTCGATTGTTTGTGAAAGCAAGCATACCTCATAGTAGTATTTGCGAATTAAATCCAGAGTATGAGTGTCTCTAACGTCAAAAGAGTCATCCCATATGTATACATAGCACCGGTCATATGTCATAGCTAGATAGCTGGATACATAATAAATGATTTAAAAAACACAGTCTTCAACTATATGGTACATTTAGGTCCACTCTGCCTACATGGTAGGGATACCGATGAGGATCCAAGGTTGACAGACCTCTAGATTAGTACGAGGCTCTGATAAATTGTTATGCTTGTGTAATGTTGTTCACTTTGGAGTCCGGGCGCAAGATAAGGAATACTTGGATTTGATTTCGTTTAGCCCGATCAGGTATATCTAGCTATAATATTTACAGGGGAGGAAACCTACTCGGTAAAAAACCCCCAAAACTGACTGTCTCGTACCTATTGGTTCTCCTTGGTATCCTACAGGAAATGCGTTTACACTGTATGTCCAGTGTGAATACCGTCCTATCATTTTCTCGATCGCTCAATCCTTTGATTGACCGCTATCTCAACTTCTTCTGCAAGCCGAAACTGTTCAATCCAACCGTTACTAAGTATCCACTCTGTAATTCTCTTCATGTCACTCGGGCTGTTCGCCATAGCTTCGAAGGACCTATCTTTTGCCCGTGGCAGCACCTCTCCTCTTCCCTTAGCCCATTGAGGACAAGCCATGACCATATGTTTCACGTTTTGTGACGGACATCGACACTGGCACTTTGGATTTGCCACTCCCGGGACCTTTCTTCTATAAAGATAAGAGTTGAGGCCGATATGCTCACTTCTCATCTGTATTGCAATACTACTTTGGGACCTGCTCAAGTTTCGGTGGAGGTTAGAGGGTGTTTTTCTGTGGGTGATTCTTTTTCTGCCTGTTCTCTTGTCGGTGATGATACTTGCTGCTTTCCAATGCTCTGGGTCTGCCGACGCCTGGTGAGAAGATAGTCGCTCTTCCCTAAAAAGTTTCCATGCGCTTTTCCACTCCTGGAATGCTACTATCTTACTCGCTTCTTTTTGTCTGCGCCTCACCTTTTCGTTCCTGCAGATTTTGGGACACTCCCCAGTATCTCGGCTTCGATTTTTAGCATGGCTATTTTCGCACAGGCTATAAGCCTGCGATATTGTTGGAAATTCTGACACTCGAATTTAGGACTCAACCACTATCTGTTTCGTCTCAGGTTCCCGACAAGATCGACTCTCTCTACACATGTCACGAGTGCGCTAATCGCGCCTACTGTTGCATTTACAATTGGATATTTACGTACTACAGTGTACCTTGGATCATCATGGTAGATGAGAGGTGGCTGGTCATCACTAGGTTTGACAGGCACATGAGACTAGTGGGAATTTCTCCCCTAATATGTATATATAACTCCAATGTTCACATAGTTGTGAAATATTAAGTCTTCTTTACTTCATCATATTTATCCATATAGTATCGTACAGAGTATATTTTCCAACAGAAATTTTACTACATGCGGATAGAAAAGTCTGCTTGATGGGTTGTCCTTCCGAAAGTCTGATATGTTGAACTCTCATTTGTTTGAGGTAGATGTCTAGTGGAAGGATTGAGCATTCGTGGTCTAAAGCTCTACTGCTGGTGGAATTATATGCCCCTGTGACTAACTTCAAGCATTTTCTTTGGATACTAGTTACGCCCTCAGGGCTCCAAACATGCAATGAGCAAGGCAGTGTAGGTGCTTGAACATAAAACACCTACACGTGACATGAATGCCAATCTAGTCTTGGCATTACTCAGCAAGCACCCACACCTCATGTATATAGAGCTCGCTGTAGTTACTCCTATTTCTCCTTCCATAGCCAATCTATCTTACATTCCCAAGGCTGCCTCTCTACCATTTTCATATCTTGTGATTATACTTCATAGATACGGAATATTATAATTAAATAGACGTTACCCTGTATTAAACAAGGAAATAGCTACCCTTCTAAAGCATTTGGAGAGGCTGGCTAGCTACAGACTCGTGTGTAACTATGGAAGACCACATATTACCTATCCAGCCTCCTTCCAAGTCTTTTCCTAAGGTCGTGATGAAATATCAGAAGAGTCTTGACAAAACTTTTCTGCTTGTAATACGACGAGAATCACGGACGCTACACGCAAAGTATACCACAAAATAATCTTTATTTTTCTAGGATAAATAACACATTGGTGTGTCAGAGCCAATTTAAGGTGTGTGCTGATTACCACATTACATAAGCAACAACCAAACGTCTAACCCAGTGTAATAGCCAGGCTGTTTTTTTTGCATAAGATTTTAGTTGTGTGTGTGTGTTTATTGTGCTACTTGAGTCTTTGACTATCTAGCACATTGGGCTCCTCTCTAACCCAGGCCACACCTTGTACAGTGCTCCTATCCTCTTTTGTTACTTGAAAGATCATTGATTTATTCCTCTTTATGAATAGCCATTCAGCTCAGTGTTTACCCGTGGAATTCGGCCACCTTTCCCACCGAACCTTCTACCCAAAAAAATAAAAATGGTAGCAATGGAAACTGCGTGCGCGGGAAAAAGTCTCAAAAAACCTGCAGCTGTTAAGGGACTGTACGCCAGCTTCTCGCAAACATATGTCGAAAATGATATTTATTTTCTATCTAAAGGGAAATTGATCTATATGGGATTTTTTTTAAATCATTTAATGTGTATTCAGCTATCTAGCTATGACACATGACCGGTGCTATGTATACATATGGTAAGACTCTTTTGACGTTAGAGACACTCATACTCTGGATTTCATTCGCAAATACCGCTTTGAGGTATGTTCGCTTACACAAACAGTCAACCCTCCTCCGTAAGTACCCACCAAAGGGAATTTCGAAACCTTTGATTATCCAAGCATGCCTTCGTCATCCATGCATACCAGCGCCGCGAGAAATATGGTTGTGTTTTGCCGGATTTGAACCAGCGATCTACTGTCTCGAGTGGGATATGTGTCCAAGCTATCCAGACCTTACTTGGCAGACCGACCAAGACAATGTACCACCGCACCATCCAACAATGGCAGTTTTTATAGTGTCGCCTGCACTCTCGCAACCGAAGACCTGGCACGCACAAAGCTCAATTTGTAAAACTACTTGCGAAAGTCCAAAATTCCACTCCCGTCGAGAATGTATCCATCCTTCGCATCATCTTGTTAACTTGTCCTGAATCCTCTCACACCAATCCCAAGGAACTGTCTCCCAGATTTGTGCGCCACGCTTTGTGTCCTCCGTCGGGTGTAAGTATCGGCGTGGGCGTGAATTTGGTGACCGGCTGAGGCCAGAGAATGTCGACGAGAGGTGTGGTCATTGAAACGAGGATGTACTAGATCGTACTTGTAGATTTGACGAGACTTAGGTAGAAGTCAAACTCGTTGGGGGCGAAAAAGCGACGTGGTGGAGTAATTTGAAATTTTGCCTCGTGAGCCAACTTCTTTGATATTGCGAAATTTAACTTGGCTCTGAGAGAACATTTGACTCCCAGGTTCGTAGAGGACACCGCGTACAGGTGTTCAGTCTTGCCCTTCTTTATGGGATTTGCCAGAGTGTGAAGACTACGCGTCGCGTCGCATCCTGGACTTTACATAAGCAATTACGTGATCCTAACTAAATTAGGAATGACGCCTGCTGGAAGCCGGATAAACTCCGGTTCCAGGTAAATGAGGCAGCAGCCTGTAACAGCAGCCCCAGCCAGGCGAGGCCTAGACACCGAGACAACATGAGGTGCGCATATTCATCTATATCTCTCTTCTTTGTAACAGTCGAGGCCGACTTGATCCAATCCGCCATCGCCGTATCGGGTGCTGGGTACGTTCCGGAAACTCATCGGATGGCTTTTCCTTCATGATCAAGGGTTGGTGATGAGTAGGGCTCCGACCCTAGCAGCTGATCTGATGGTAGTTAGCTTCATGATAATAGTGATAGGTGAATGTGTTGAGAAATGAAGACGATATAGACTGCGAAAGCGATTGGGGATCCTCGTCGAAGTGAGGACTTTGTTACTCAATCTCGGCTCTGCAGACTCTACAGTGAGAGCTGGAGGTTCGAAGGGGAAATCACTGACAGGTGTTTGTTTGTTTATTGTTTGTTTGTTCATTAACATGCTAGGTGAAGTAACTACCGTCGCACTCCTACTGGAGCTTGAGCACGAGTGGGGTCGGGCCGGATCAGGTTAACTACCGTAAAGTACAAATGCCTCGTCCCACCTAAATGACCGGAACCATGCCAAAACGCATCTATGTGTTGAATCATGACGAGTCCAGCAGTCCAAAATTGAAAA